GGCAGTGCTGTATATGTACGACGTATACGGTATACTGCAGCATCCAGCGCAACGGTAGTGGCGCGAAGCTAAGTAAAAAAATAAAAGTGAAGCGGTCACGACCGTATACATTATTCTATACGGTGTATATATGTCTATATATTCCTAGAAAAAGAATTATAAAATCAAATTCGTCAATTATTTAGAAAAAATAGTATGCTAAAACATATTGTTAATTGTTATACCTCAAACTACGTGTTGAAAGATGAAACGCATAATATAAGTATATTATTAATATACTTAGGTAACGACGCGCGTTAAAGTCACCCGGGCCATCAGTCTTCGCCGTATTAATGTTTTTATTATGTTGCATTCATTTAGTGAAAATGACATTTAATTACACTATATGGAAAATTTTTTTACCTTTTCATGAAGTGGGTGAAATTCTTTTTTTCCACGTTGTGTAGTATAATCCTTATCATAGATAGTTGCTTGATATAATATGATATAATAATATAATAATACACCACTTTTTTCCTTAAAATATAATGAAGTATGAAAATTAAATTATATATTTTCCTAAACTTTATTTTATATTTTATTGTTTAATTGGAAATGTTTGAGTGTTATACAATGTAGAAGTTATAAATTATATCAATTAAATTTTTTATTTATATTATACACAGTACAGATAGGTACTTGGATGATTTCAAAAAAACTTAGTACAAATCGTACAGTAATACCCAATACCATGTACATACTAGTACATAATAATGATAATACCCAATATGACCAAAATGAATTTCATCCACTTTATGAAAAAGTCATAAAACTATCCTTATAGTGTAGTAAAATGTCATTTTCATTAAATGGATACATTTCATGAAGTGGAGGTTCACTTCGTAAAATTAGCAATTTCACTTAGTGGATGCGACATATTCAAAACGGTCGACTCACCGACGACCGCATCGCACTATAATACATTAGTACATTATAATTCATAAAATGTATAACCTGCTAATTGCTATAATATTCCGAGGCGTACGAATACCGTAGTCACCTGTAAAACAAATAATCTACTAAAATGACATTACCAGGACTATGCATTCAAATATTTTATAGGTACTTATACTTACTACACTAAAAACAACCTTTAAATATAAGCATTAAGCTTTATAAGCATGCTCTCATATACCTAAAAATATTAATATTTTATATGTTATAAACTATATATTATGCTCTTAAATTCCCAAAATATACAAACCAGAAATTCTTATTTGCAATGGTGGTAATATGTTAACACAAGCAGGTACTCATCAAAGTATTAATTACGAAATAAGGATGAATAAAACATTCAAATTGAATTAGATCCACAGTTAGTACTTTGTATACTATACAGTTTAAGCGCATTACACTTGTTGAACACGTCCCGATCACGAAGTTAAAAATCCCTGCAATTCTAATAACGTAGCTCGTACAACAATATTAAACTTATGTTAATATAAATTATCTACTCTATTGTATACGACTCTTAATACTCGCGGATCGACGTTGATCTACCGTCACAAATCGTAAAACCGAATAAAATAATTGCCGAACACCGCCGCGGCACATTGTTACTATATACCGTGTCGTATTAATTTCGTTTTATTATTTTTTTTATTTTCATATCGCTGACGTGGGCGCTTCTTTAGTTTAAAATATATAGGCCCGTATAGAACTATGATAAAAATAAAAATAAATCATATATTCTACGAGCGACCACTGTATTATAATATTATTATAGGGTCATTAGACACGGCGGCGACGCGAGGCTGCACGGGTGAAAGTGCATCTGTGACGGTGGCAAACTGCAGATATTGTGGCAATATAGTTAATAGTTACAGCTTTTTATACGCTGTATGCATATATTATGTTAAAAAAAATCATGGTAATAATAATATGTGCTCGCGTACCGAGCATTACACATGCGCGCTGTAAGTGTCTAGCAGATACGTGAAAAATCATCTATAAAAGACAAAAAATATTAAAATCAAATCCTCGTGCTACCGAATCTATATAATATGACGAAAATTAGATAATTCACCAAGTTTGCACATCCAACGACAACAATACATTGGCTATAGGTACCTATATTATGATATTATGAGCTCGATGATAATACATTTCAGTACTCACGTGGACAACGTAGTATATTATGACATAGTTGTGGGTTATATTATCTACTTCGTACTCGAGAACCGCGTGAGGGCTGCATTTGGGTATCCGCGGATACGTCACCTGACCTATGCAGCAGCTCCTTATTGCGGTGACGACTATAATAGACTAGATACTTTTTTTTCGTATGAATTATAATATGATGATGCCGCCGTCGTTGTGGCACATGATCTATCGAATTCCGCGGTGTAGACCATTCATATTATAGACACAATATTATCGTCCTAGGAAGTACAAAATACACGATAATACAAAATTAGCTAGATATCTAACATATAACAGGTATAAATGCAATGACATTGTATAGTAAAATATTATTCATATTGAATTTACAAGCATGGTACCTACACTGGACACCTCGAGCGGAATTGATAAAGTCGGTTCAGCGGGTCGTTCCTATTTATTCACATGGGTAATGACGATAACATTATAATAGTATTAAACATACAGCCGTAACCATACGATCACGAGTAAATCAGACAGTCTCTTATATTGTTCATTATATACATCCGCAAAGAACGACCATCAATCAAATTCTCGTCAGACTGACACTCTGGTTGTATCATATATTATATATATGTGTAGCTTTGTAGCTGGTGTATACTGCTTAGTACATTGTACCTATATATATATTGATTTTGAAACACTTTGATAATATCATTAATATAAGGCACGCTTTTACGACCGTCATAATAGAGTCAGGTTTTGTCTGAACGTTATTATAATTTATAATAATATATTAATGTGTATTATTTTATTCTTAACTCTGCTGTAGTTGTAAACAATACACACTCGTGCTCGAGTTGGCCAATTATTGTATTATTTTATTTTGCCAGTCTACGAGTATATACAACATAATATTAGGTTAGACAAGGGAACATATTTCTGTTTATTATTTGTATTTTTCAGTAGACTTTTCTCATCGAAATAATGCGTGAATATTATTTTAATTTTAATACCTACAATGTTCATCTTTTCGCGTTGTATCTTATTTTCAAGTATAATACAATTATTAATGTCCGAGTAAATATAAATAGTAAATTATAATATTGTGTACCAAGCTCAATAAGAAACAATCTTTAGCACATGCGCTAAAAAAAAATAACTTAGTTATGAAACCAATCAAATTTCTTCCAATAATTTTCCAAATGCCAGTATCGAAACGCGCTCTCTGATTCATTGGTAGTTATGCAAGGGATTATTGTAATGAATGCACATTACAATATTATAATACCTAATAATATATACAGACATTGAAGAATTATTATCTAATCGTCACGTGTATTTCGTCGGAATTAATTTTGTTCGATCCGAAAAAAGATAGCTAAGACCGGGTTACGAAAATAATGATATTATCGTTGCTTATTTTATAGTATGTTTTAAAAAAAAAAATGTCTGCAAAATCACTGCAGTGGTGTGAAATTCAGCAGACCGATTACTGGGCCATTTCCAATCATTCGTGGACTTACGACGACGAAATGGAATACAAATACCGCTCGTTGTGGGATCTATTATTGTAATACATTACGGAGAAGGATTTCAGTCCTGCGGCGGGTCCTGAGCTCGATGACCCTGGGGGGGTCGGGTTCGTGACTCGCGCGAACGTTCTCACGGCATTATAATTTATAATATATACATAGGTAGAAGACGCCCGCCCGCGATCTGTTCGTCGTGACGATCTTTTTTTCTCTTAGTCGACGGTGACGTCGGGCACTATCCGATCGATAACTAGATCTCCTTTTCGTTCAGGAAATTTCGCGTCTATACCTAATATTGGGAAATGAATTCAATTTTTATCATCAGCTACAGCAGCTGCAGGCCTCGTACAAATCGACCTAGCTGTCTCTATGTCAGCACGAAATGTGAGCAGATTATAGAATGTAGGTACCACCCCCCAGTAAATCCATAGGAAATGACGCGTCTCGGATCACACGATCAATGATCGCGTGTTAATTTTAATAATTTATTTTTCGCGTTTTAGTCTCTTCTTCTTCGTGTTTACCGTCTATTCATAACCCTCCTAAACCAGTTTCGCGACGTTTATTATACGAGTTATTTATTACAAATATAATATATTATACTATTATGTACCTATTACCTAGGTATGTACCAGACGACCGTGACATTTAAAACTCAATTTTTCCCATGGCGTATCTGATTTTTTACTTGCATTTTTCGAATCACCTTACGCACGCGCTCGAACTTTCGGAACGGATGCAGTGCTATTCAGTGAAAGCTCCGATGTCGATGACGACGACGACAACGATTAACGATCGATGATGCAATCGTTACGGATAAAAACAATACGAACAACGTAGGAGTATTTTATACGCCTTGCTCATACGACACGACAGTCGCACGTCGGTACTGCGTTTACCGAAGAAGACGCGCACTGGTATGTTATGCAATGGCGGCCACTCCGGTTCTATTGTTATGCAATTATAATCGACGGCTGCTTCGATCATCTCTGGAATGAAACATATTATATTATTATTTATCTATACGTAATTATATTCGTAAACGGGAATTATGGTGGCAATTTCGTACCATCCGTCGTACGGTAGTGTGCGGTGTAATATAATATTACGACACTGGGAACCGCTATCGGGGTTCAGCGCGAGTCACATTATATAGTTATAATATGGGTACAACATTTAAATAATAAAAAAAATTACATCCTCAACCCGTCGGCGGTGTCGTATAATATGTATTACGCGGACGCAGCGGTGGCGTTTTACCTTTCACCTTTTCGCGGTTATTAATAATTCATACACTAAAATATTTTATATTTTTACGTGTTTCAGATACGTATATTGATAATAGAAATATATATACATCATGTTGTCCGATAATATGACGATGGCCATCAAGATCTGGACATTCCTCACGTTGTTCACCTGTAATTATTATTTTATTTTCATTATATATAATATCATATTAGACAAATTACCGTTCATGGCGTTTTCGTCTAATCACGAGTGCCAAATTTATTTTATTAAAATATGTCGGTCCACTTGTGTTTGTACATATGTAGGTGTGGTGAACGGTCAGAGAAAACCACCAAATTACCAGCAAAATGAAATGCCACCGACCAGTTTTAGCTGCAAGGACAAAATCGTGGGCGGATACTACGCGGATCCTGAAACGTCTTGTCAAATGTTCCACGTCTGCGTGAACGTCGTCGGGACCGGGGTGAGTAAATCAAAATGGATTTTGTTTGTCCTCTTATCAACGCTTAACGCCGTCGTTGCTTACCCGAAATGAACATTATTGTAATATATCGTTTACAGGTTCAAGATTTTCGATTCCTGTGCCCGAACAACACAGCTTTCGACCAAGAAAATCAGATTTGCGACGACTGGTATAACATTGACTGCGAGGCAGCCACGTTGTTTTACAGCGACAATTTTGACTTGTATAAACTCGGTAAGTTGGTTTTGGTCCTTAAAAATCAATTATAACTTGGCCCCCTTTGGTATTTTTCTACAAAATTTACATTAATATTCTTTTTAAGTGGACAAATTCAACCTAATAATATATGGTTGAACTTTACATTTTTGACAAAATAAAAAACTTAATATATTATTTATTTGCATTTGGTTCCAATATAATTCATAAAGTTAAAACTTGTTTTTAAAAAGCTATAAAATAATTACATAGTTATAACTGAGAACCAAATTGGAATTCCACTACAGATAAATAATATTGTCATATTGCCTATCGAATTGATTTTATATTAGGTATATTAAAATTTTATAATTTTGTGTTTTCACAATAAATCCACCCTATTTGATTTATTATCCCACAACCTCCTCATTAAATTTCTAAAAATAAAGGTTTCAATTGATTGGAATTTTATAATATGGTGGTACCTACTTACTGAGCAATTTGCCTCTTCCCTATCGTTCATATAAAATATATATTAATAGTTTGTTTTGTACAATGCATTATATTAATTTATTTGTATAGAATACGAACTAATTAATCGTAAATATCATAAATTATAATAAGTAGCTGATATGGAGGAAGGGGAGGAAGTGATAAACACGGAGGAAGTGATAAACACACATGACTCATGCTGGTAAAAGGCAATAATTAGATACTAATATGTAGATGTTCACATAGGATTTAGCGGAGCTCCATCCACATCTGGCAAAGCCACACCAATACCATTGGGTCCATCCAGTGCTTCACCGAACGTGGCAGTCCATCCACAACCCAGTCCTAGGAGACCTTCACTCTCCACTCCCGTTAACAACGCAGTGTCGGAGAACGACGATGACTACTTCCTGCAGAGGAGCGATGCCACTGACAGTCGGCTCCAACAAGATCTTTTGAGGGGCAGCAGCTCAGGCAACTTTTTCAGCAACAAGAACAGAGGCGTCGAGAACCCAGACGACTACGACGATGGACGGGTGATTGCTTCATCCAAAGACGTGCCAAAGAAGAACACCAAAGCGCCGTTCAGGAAATTGTTGACAGGCAAGAAACCGGTCTCTGAATCTGCTACGAATGCTCCGAGCACCGCCTACGGCACCACCGGAACCACAGCCGCCGCCACTATCACCAGCACCAGTACGGTCAGGCAGCCCAATTACAAGCCGACCACATACCGGAGCAAGGACCGTGGCCGCGTGAACTACAAGACATACTTAGACAAGCAGACCAAAGCTGATGAGTATGACAGTCAAAAAATTGCCAAGCCCGCCACCGCTATCCAATCCACGACGTTCGCTCCATCAACCGGTAATACTTACCGTTTACAACCTACTGTGACCGCAACTGCCACCGATAACACATATCAGACCACGGTATCCAACGCTGTGCAGCAAAATAATAGGCCAAAAAACAACGATTTCCTGCGCATTACACCACCAGGAAATAACAACAACAATAACGGCGGTGGTTTCCAATCAGCCCGGATTAACGTGGCGCCGCCCACCAACTTCCAGACAAATAATGGATTCCGTCAGGCTAACGACCAGGCTCAGAATTTCCAGCAAAACGTCATCAACTACAATCAAGGCTTCCAGTCGGATAAAACCACTTACTCCACAACCACTCAAAACTTAAACCCGGCAAACTTTCAGTCTGACAAGATCTATACGACAACACAAAAATACATCCAGAACCCGACAACGAATACCTTCCAGCCACAGGGTAGCAACACGTTCCAGCCAGGCAATACTTTCCAGCCTGCTGTAAACAATTTCCAGCAAGCTAACAATTTCCAGCAACCCAACAATTTCCAACAAGGCAACAATTTCCAGCAAGCCAATAATTTCCAGCAAGCCAATAATTTCCAGCAATCCAACACTTTCCAACCATCCAACAATTTCCAGCAAGCCAACACTATCCAACCATCCAACACTTTCCAACCATCCAATAACTTCCAGCAAGCTAACAATTTCCAGCAATCCAACACGTTCCAGCCAGCTAACAATTTCCAAACAGTGACTCCCACGACGCAAAAGTTCAACTCGTACCAGCCGTCGTCACCGATCGCATATCAACAGTCCACAAACGTGTTCCAGTCATCGACACCAAACAACGCGGGCAACTCGTTCCAACAGTCGTCCCAGCAACCACTATTCCAGTCCACCACCGAGCACTTCTCCAAAGACTTCAAAGCAAAGTTCGACCCATACAACAGCTACCACCAGAGTACTAACGAGGAGGCGGGCGAGACTCTAAAGACGGCGCCTAGCACTAACTTGAGGCCGAGTGAACTCAACGCACTCATCCAGCCCAGACCTAAATCGATAAACGCCACGCTATCGGTCGGGTTTAGTTTCAACAAGGTGGACGGCGGAGTGGCCAAGTCCACCGTCATCGTACCTGCGCCGACTACGCAAAAGCCAAGGCCTTTCACTACGCAACAGCCCTCTTCGACAACACAGTTTGTCACAGCCAGATCAACCACGGCTTTCGTGAGTGCCGCTCCCAGCAGCAGTGCCAAAAAGGCCGTCACCAAAGACAAGGACTCGTCGTACGATTATGCGTACTACGACGACAGCAACCATAACGATTACACCGACGTGGTGCCCGAAGACTTTTCCAGAATTCACAACGCAAAAATTTTTTAAGTAAATACTAAAGTTCTCCTCTCCCCACAAACTTTCAAAAGCCTTTAACGTGTAAGTTTTTTGTAAATAAATCGTAGGTTTACGTCTAAAGTATATAATATTATAAAATTTAATACAAAAATACGTTATAATGGTATATTATTATATTCTTCGGCCACGCGAAGCAAATTCTTCAGTGCCAATCAGTTCGACGACGACACGTTGGTCAAACGTAGGTTACGAGCAGACTTGGGAAGTTCACCCGAACAACTTTTATGAATCCTAGCTTCTAAGTCCCTTTAGTATTCGTCCAGCACTGCCCTGTGAGAACTCCTCCAGCTACCCGGAATGATTCAGGTGCCAATTCTAGTACCTACCTGGCAGGTTCCGGCAGGTATAACTGTTAATTATCGAATAATTTGCCGCGTTCAATTATACGTGAACAGTTGAAACATATACTAACCTGGCGGTAAAATTGGCAGTGCACGAAAAACGTTAACTTTTTATTGTTTTTTTTTTTTTTTTTTTCGAAAACCAGAATATAAATTTTTTTTTTTTTTTAAGTGACTGTTAACTTATATTATTGGATTTAAACAAAATATTACTTTTATTGCATTTCTCTTGGCTACTTGTGGATGAAAAATAAATTTAAATTTAAATAAGCGTGGAAAAAAAATTAATAAAATAGTACTTAAATTACATAAATTGTATACATGATAAAAACAAAAAAAGTCTTCAGGAGCTAAAAAACTCTTTTGATATGTATTGTTATTTATAATTAATCACTAATTGCAACATCTGTCAAAATTTATATTTAAGCGGTATTAAAATTAAATTGTATCTGTTTTATATAAGACAAAAAGTTAAAAATGATTTATTATACATTAATACACTATTTGTGTATAATGTCTATGTAAAGATTAGCTATATCACTTATTGTTAATTAATATTTAAAATAATAAATACATTTGATTTTTGTATGAATGTTTTGTAATTTAGTAATAACTAATAAAATTATTTTTTCCTGTAACATAATTAATTTATTAAAATAACCATTTCCTTAGATTTTAGTGATACATAGATTTTAGATTTTGAGCGTATTTTCATATAGCACACACAAGTCGATTTACTTATTTGACATATTTCTACATTTGCTTACTAGCAAATCACTGGATGTAGTTCTGAATGTAGGATCTGGTTGGTACTTTTGAAGGACAGATGTATACAAATCCCAGTACTTTTAAAAATAATCTGAAAAAAACAAAAACAAAAAAAGTCAAGGAAAAACGGTAATTTTTAAGAAATGTCTTATCTATTTGACAAAATCGATTTTGTTTTTAGATGAACACTGTAGATAAATCAAAAATGAATACCTTCAGATGTTTTTTATTTTCACAAAATGTTTATATTAGTATTTTTAGTTCATGATAGAATTTTCAAAAAATGTTAAGCTACTTAATAGTTTTTTTGACTTTTTTCCTACAAATGTGTTTCAATTTTGTTGCTTGATCAAAAAGTGTGAACATTTACAACGTTCCTTATAAGTTATTCTATACCAATTAAAAAATATAAAATTACATTATTACATTGATGGGTGCCTTATAAACACTTTATGTCCCCGGAAAAAAATAATTAAAACTCCAAAGTTTGATAGAAATATGTTTTTCAACAGAAAACAAAGCATGCTCACCCCATTTTTATGCTTAAATTGTGCATATATTCAAATTCTGATTTTTGGAATTGTTAAGTGTAGTTAAATACGATATTTTCGTGTACTTAAATTTTTCACAAAATTTAAGGATTATCCTGTGGCGATACCAACTTTTGTTTTTCAAATGACAACCTATGTGTTTTAAAGAAAAATGTGATTCTGATCATTTTTCTGAACATTTTGGCGTATTGTAATCGAAATTTGAATGAAAACTTCTTTAATTATTCTTCTTTACATACTAAGGAATAAGAATAGTAATATATTAAATACTAAATAATTTGAGAATGGATATTAACTCGATAATTATAATTCGGTTAGGTAGTAATTGTTGACAAATATCTTATATTGCATACCGATTTATAATTATCGAGCTCATATCCATTTTACAGAGCATTTTAGTATAATAGTCTATCTATTATCCATATTCCTTAGTATGTAAAGAAGAATAACTAAGGAAGTTTTCGTTCTAATTTCGATTACAGTGAAAAATTATCTGAATCACATTTTACTTTAAAACATATAGGTTGTCATTTGAAAAACAAAAGTTGGTGTCGCCACAAGATAATCCTTAAATGTTGTGAAAAATCTAAGTACACGAAAATACCGTATTTAACTACACTTAAAAATGCCAAAATTTAGAATTTGAATATATGTATAATTTAAGCATAAAAAGTGGGGTGAGCATGCTAAAAAAATCACCCTGGATATACAGTGAAACTTGTCTTATCCGAACCCTTGATAAGATGGAATATTTTCTGTGAGGAAATGTATTATAGCCCTGGCAGATTAATGGTACCAATATATTTGCGGTCGGCTTTTTTTTCGTGCCATTTGCGGTCAATTTATTTCTATTTACCTGACTAATTAATTAGCACCTAAAAATTTAAGGTGCTGTATATAGTATTATATTCTAAATACATATATTATATTATGAAAATTTGTTTAAAAAGTTTATTCTTATTAATACAACTAAAGGTAATCCTCTAGAGTTGGGATAGTTAACTTAATAAAATATTAAATATACCACGACCAACGTTTAAGAATTTGTATGGCTTTCTTAAAAAAGAGGCTGATAATTTAGAACTTTTATATGCAAGAAGCTACTTAAATATGAAAGGTTAAGGGAGAAAAAATATGTACATACAATTAGACGAGAGAATTAAAAAACATTAATGGAGTATGAAATAGATAATGATTTAGTCAAATGCTTAAAAAAATAGCTGCTATTATTCAAAAATTAGAATAAGGTTATGTTTATGTACATATATGTTTGTTAGTAATATACTTTAGTATTAGTATTATATGTTTATATGTAATGTGATCGACAAATGTATTATTATTATATGAGTTATTTATAATAATAATAAGTTTTTAAACACACCAGTAAAAAATACTGTCAGTCCTTAGCCTTGAAAAGTGAGAAGGGAAGTTTAAATATAATAAAATAGTAAATATATACCTATTAGCACAAATTAAGTTTATAGTAAATTTATATATATTATATATAGCACCCAAGTTTTATAGTCACGTAAATAGAAATAAATTGACCGCAAATGGCACGAAAAAGGTGCCGACCACAAAATCCTGACCGCATCGGTGCCGACACCTTTATAATTTAACATAGGATTAAACTCTTAAACTCTTGATAAAATGGAACCTGTCTAACGTAAAACGGAAAGCTATTTATTGGTCCTGCAAATCACATACACCTCATATACACGGAAAAACACATAAAATGAACAAAAATATTTTTGATACCCACATTTATTTTGCTAACGAACAATAATTAAGGTCAGCGATTAATACGTATCAACGGATAAGTACATTTTATCATGAATCTACACACAGGCGCGGATCTAGAACATATTTAAGTTGTGGGGGGGGGGGGCATCTTAAATAAAATTAAAAACGGATACGGTCGAAACGCTATTAGCGAAACAATGCATTTTATCGGCTGCTGAAAATAGATATAATAGACAATTCACCAGAGTCTACGGAGAGGAGAGCATTAAAAACTTTCTTATGTATTACCTGATTTAATTATAAACACACCGACTTTAACCAAAAAAAAAAAAATGTTTTGGTAAAGTAATGCTGCTGCTTGCATAATATATGCAATATGCATATCAAACAATGACACATTTGATGCTGCTGCGTACCATATCAAATAAAAATTAACTTACATGAAATTATAAACGGCATCATCAAAAGAAATTTAATTTGTGAGACAATATTACCCACAAATTCAAAACAAAATATTAAATAATTAAGTTTAAAACAGTGCTATGATAATCATACAGACTTTTTTTTTAACCTTTTTAATACTAATTAAGTACATAACATTCTGTTGTTACATATACTAGTAGGATGAATATATTAATAATATTATAATTTAGTAGTACCTACTACCTAATCACTTATAACACAAATAAATAATTTTCGATATGAATAAAAATTGGCTTTTCTTTACTATAGAAATTAACACACTTTGTAGTATTTACTACGGCAAAGTAAAATATCGGAAAAATATGTTATGCATGGATGTCATGCATTTTTTTGTAGAAATCCATTTTTTGAATTTGAATTTTATTAATTAATTTAATTTTTATAATAATTCTGCTTGTAAATTAATCATAGCTCTGTATTACCCTAATACTTCTTCATCAAATCTATTAAAAATAATTCTTATTTGATGGCGTAACTATTAAAAGTTGTCATGGATAAATATTTAAATTTACTTTATGAAGTTGAAATTTTTAAACAGATTACTGTTGAAAAAAACCACACTAAAAATAAATTTCAGTTTTCTGCAGAGGTATTATTATATTATATTAAGGTTAATGGGACTTATGATACATACTGTATATTCAATTATATGAGACTGATCAAATGATAGGAAGTTTATAAGAAAATTATCTGAATCAAACAAAAAATGACTAAATAAATATATATAAATATAATAATGAATTTTGCTAACCGGATATTGAGTTATTTTGCGTTTGTTTGTTGCTTTTAATTAGTAATTTATGGTTTAAATATATTTTTAAAATTTCGGAAATCAAGTCATGTATCTTTTCATAACAATTTAGTTTGAATAATGATTTAAAAGTTTTTATATAAGACGAGTCTGGTATATAAAATATAGAGAATACATATATAAATTGTAATAATTTAAATAGATACATACTTAACAATCACTGTGAAAATACTAATTTGAACAAAATAAATTTTTTTTAGTTTTATGTGTAAATGTGTTATGAACTTAAGTTTCATTAATAATTAAATAATAATATTCAAATGATTGAAGTAATTCAGTTGAATACAAAATTTAGCTGGGAAAATTGTTTGTCTACTGTTGGCGTACCTATGACATTTGCTGTTAATGTATAACGCTGCTATTTTATTCTACCACTCCCTGACTTTTTAGACATATCACACTGTTACCAAAAACCAGTTATTAGTCTTCGGCATTTTTCGTTGCATTCTCAGCAATGCAACGAAATTTTTGAGCATTGCTGAGGACTAATATTAATATTTTTAGTTTTCATTTTTTTTTTAAAATCACATCTCAGCAATAACACGTAAACCATTTTAAATGAATACGGGTCTGTTTTGGAAAGACGTTTTCAAAAGAAAATTCTAAATTTTGCAAGACATAAATTAAAAAATCGACTTCCTTCCTCTTACTTTAGTTCTAGTGCAATAAGCACCCAGCACCCTGTCTACTTATTTGTTTGTACTAAAACTTCAGCTTACAGTTAACAAAGTCACAACTGTCACATACATATTTCGAGTTTTTGATTGAATACTATACGATTATTGAA